GGGGAGCCGGGGGGCAGCGGCCACCGCGGCGAGCCCGAGTCCTGCCTTCCGCATCCGGCACCCGGGCGTCCTGCTGCTCGCGGGGATCGCTGGAGAACCGGAGAGCAGAGGAGAGGCGCCAGGGTCACTCTGCGATCGTCCCAGCCCGCGCTTCACCTCCCCGCCTGCACTTTACTCCAGCCCCCACCCGCTGTTTCCCCCCGCCTGTTGGCATCTTTTCGCCAACCAGCAAACTTGAAGCAAAGTAAGAGAAGCCTTGGTTTTTAGGCCTGGCTTTTTTTTTTTTTTTCTTGCCTGCGTTTGTAGCCCTTTTTTAGGAGAACGAATGGAATAAGGGTGGGAATTGGTAGTTGCTCTCCAACCTAAACCACTTTATATCTGTAATTAAGCTAGTGTAGGATTCCATGCGGCCAAGTGAACACGTACTGTATAAGCAAAAGCTAACGGTTGCTTAACTAAAAGCTCTGTTTTGTGTATGTGTGCGTTTATGCTAGGCAAATTCAAATAAGAACCTAAAAGAGTGTAGATTTTAAAACAGTATTCCTGTAGCAAAAAGATGATTAGATAATAGTCTCACAGCAACTTGTGACAGAGAGATAGGAAAAATCTTTGCCACCAGACAACTTGACAGTTCATTGCTTTGCATCCAGTTCTGGCTTCTTAGCTGGAAATTATGCCCTTTTTTATTAAGAGATTTTGAAAGTTGCTTTATTAGTTTCACAATCAGAAGAGAACCCATACTTTGTAAGGTTTTAGCCAGACTGAGCATCTTGTTTCTCACCGAGTTCAGTGTGTAGCATAGTTGCGGCATTTATGCCATGCAGTACAGATATGATGATACACGGCTGAATTTTCTGGTAATCTGAGAATTTCATTCAATTCTATCCATTCATTTGACTTTAGGAACGGTTCAGAGTCCTTTTGCGCACGAGTGGGTTGGTCATGTTTCATTTACATATCCAAATAATACCAGATTTGATTATAATTACATATTTGTTTAGGCCCTGCACTGTGACACTGAAATAGTCTCTCATTTCCCCTTCCTTACCTAGGAACCCTTGGTGTGGATGGAATATTTGGTTTGTATTTGCCCTGCTTTGATTTGAAAATGGTTAACAAAATAACAGTGATAGGAGAGCAAGTTCTATGCGTGCTGATCATAGTGAGGACACGGATTCGTTTTAAAGTTGTGGAATTTATTCAAGACGAAATTTTAGAAGGAATAATTATCTTAAAAACGAGTTCTTGAGCTTCCCAAAGACTTTAGTGGCTTTTACCTGTGGGTCTCTTTAGTTAAACCTTTCTGAACTTACTTGCATTTACTGAGGACCAGGTATTCTTCAAAGCACTGAACAAATAATAGTTTGTGTAACAACCCTATGGAGACAGATACTGTAATGTTTTGTGTATTTTACAGGTGTTGAGACTGTTGTACAGAGAAATAGTAATTTGCCTGAAGTCATGCTAAATAAAGGACTCATTTAAACAATGGCAGTCTGGTCCTAAAGCACTCCTCCTAGCTCTTGTCCTGTCTGGCCTTAACTATACGTTGTAACTCCTTTTAAATTCGTGTGTAAAGTTTCAAAACATTTTTACTTACTGCCAATGTTCTGTAAATATAGTGGGGGGGTGCTAGGAATGGAACACAAGACCTTGTATTCTAACTTACATCTGTATTAATTCTGTATTGAAAGTATTGTGATTTGTCAGAAACATGCTTCATTACTTCCTTTGTAAAGAATCAGTGGCGTTCACTTAGCTCACCATTAAAAACATTTTTGAGAATTGTTTAGCTTGAAAACTCCCATTTGTGCACAAATTTAATGAGTTATGTGTCCCCAAAGCGTAAATTGAGTGCTTCCCAAATAATTTATTAACTGTTATTTAGAAAAAATTGTGAAAGATGTCACTAAAATAATTCCAGTGGTTGGCAGTTGGTCATGCTGGGTTTTTTGAGGTTGTTCCATAACTTTTCACTGTGCCAGATACCCCAAGACCTGGGTTGTTTAAAGGCTAAGACATGAAACAAATGAACAGTTACTGTTAATTATCCTACTGTTGTCTGCCCCAACTTTGTTTCCAAAGCATACCATTCAAAAACTGTTACCCATTATTTAGTAGGTTCTCAATAAATACTTGTTTTATGGTAAACTTGCTGTAGATGGGTAGGTATGCACATCTACTTGCCAGGTGTGCAAGGGTAAATTGTAAAATGTAAATATAAAACATAAATTTTTATATGTGGAATATATGTACAGCCTGTGTTTTCAGTGGACACTGTCCAATAGGACCAGTCCTTGTTTTTAACAAGGACCATTTTTCTGAAGTTATAGGAGAAAGTTGTTGATGATGAACCTCATTCATCTGCCTTTGCATAGGCTTGTATATAATTGTTTTCCTGTGTACCAGACCATGCTTTCTCTCCCAGCAGTAGGGGTGGAACCCAGGGCCTCATACTAGCAAGTGGCTGATCACTGAGCTACACCCTCAGGCCAGAACAAACCAATCTCTCTTGCTCTCTTGCTGTCACTGTTTTCTCTTTTGATGCTGGTGCTAGAATCAGACTGGCAACGATAGGCAAGTGCTGTTCCACTGAGGAGACAGAAGGTTTGCCTTTGTGTAGCTCTGTATGGGAGAACCCTAGGATTGTTGTGGTTGGCATAGAGCAGTCTTGTCAGGAACCTAGTCATTCTTAGCAATACTCATCAAGCTGCTGTAGAAACTCAGGTCAGTCATGCGGATGACTTAGTGGAGACGCTGGCTTCCTAGTGCAAATCCGGATTCTGAGAGCACTAGGAGCTTGCCTGAGGTTACAAGAGCTGTCATGTTGGAGGCAGCATTTTGAGCCAGGTGTTAGACTCCAGAAGCCATGCTTTTTGGCAGTATTCCTTAAAATACCATTCTTAGTAACTGCCTGTCAGCTGCACAGTGGTCCGCAAGAAGATACAGTCCCCTAGTGTCTGTGCAGTAGCAGCTTGCCCTTTGGGGCACTGAGTTCATGGTAGGCACTGTTGTAAGCATTTAA